ACTCTGTGCAAAGTTTATTTCAGCTTGACTTGACCTACCGTGTACAGACCTGGAGTCTGTAATTACCAGCTGTGGTGAAATGAATGATAGATTTCTTTCTACCTGCATACTTAGTGCAGTTATGCAAAAAATCCCCACGGGGTTGGGATAAGACGTAGAAGGCTGAGAGGGCTCAAAATGAATTTCACTGAGAGTTTGGCATGGGATAACCCTATAGTCAATGTCTATTATGGTATCCTGTATGCTTGTGGCCTTCTTGGAGACAGGGCTCAGAGGTCATTCCTTAAATACAGACAGAAGTCATCTTAGTGTTCAGAACCATTCTGCAATCAGTGGCCTTAGAGCGTGTTCCCTCCTCCACTCTTCCCTACCCAGAGGGGATCCTGTGGTAGACTGGTGATCCCCACTGTTTAGAAGGTGGAAAGGGAGAGTAAATCTCGGTTTCTATATAAGAAAATAGGTGATTTCTTAGCTTCTTAAAATTGTATCCTGACAAAAGCTGAGTTAGCAGGACACCACCCTATCCCCACAATGGAAATCACAATGGGTAATTTGTTGATAAGTTCCTTAAATTTTTCACTTATAAAAATGGAAGTAAAGCTACCATTCTTTGTGTACAATGTAAATTTAATGTAAAACTGCATCAGAATTACCATAGCAATGTCCAGGTACTAGGGAGTACATAGCCATTCATTCTCGCATCCTGCCATTCATTCAGCATATAGCCTGTAGGGTGTAAAGCACTAGTCCTGGTGGAGTAAGCCCATCAGAGAACTAGGCTGTGAAGTGTCTAGACTGTCTTCCTCTCTCCATCCTGGAAGGAGGGCATCCAATTTATTTTTAAATGTTTTTATTCTAACATAAAGCAATCCATTTTTTTGTTCTGTTATTTAACAGAAACTTTAGTATCAACTCTATTTCATGGTTGTTGCAGTTGAAGTGTTTCTGGTTTATTTTTTGCTCAATGTGTAAAGAAACCTGCTGTGATTATTTTACAGATGAGAAACAGGCAGAGAGGACAAGGGATTTAAAAAGTTTCACAGTTAATTAGAAGTGGGGCTCCAACTTGACATCAGGATTCCTGACATCTCATTTCTCAAATAGTTTAAAGATCACTTTTGGCTTTCAAGTAACTCCTTATTTTTACATTGGTTAATAGTGTTTCTTAGCTATTTTTACCTGACATTTTCCTAACACATACCCAAAAAGGCAAAAGTTTCATTAAAGGATTCTAATGATCATTTTTAGTAGAAATAACAAACATTCAATCATCATTTCTTTGCTTAAACCTTTAATATCTGGCTGTTACACAGAAATGAATTTCCAGATGTGAGAATCAGAACCGTATGGAAACGAATCTGGAAAAGTGTTGATTATCCTCATAGGAGCATAAGAACTCAGGATTGGAAGAGATTTTATAGTTCATAAAGTTCAACCTTTAATCTCTATTTCCATCCCAATATTTGGAAATAAGTCTAGGGTTCCACATGTCAAAATAACAATTTTTGTTGCATTTAGCAAACATATGCTAGGCATTTTTCTAAGTATGTTGTCAGTACTATGTCTTCCTCATATTGGCCCTATGAAGTAGGTACTCTTCATATCCCCATTTCACAGATGGGGAACAGGCACAGGGTGGTAGGGGTAAACAGGAGTCAGGATCCGAAGTCAGGCAGTTTGGCTCTAGAGTCTAAGAGCCTGACTACTTTCTGTTATAGGGCGTCGCTCCATAAGATAAACTCGAAGGAAAAGGAGGGGCAAGGGCAGGCAGTGAAAATCCACTTGATAGAAATACCAAGGAAAAGCGGCTGAGCCTGGTGGAAAAACCAGAACCTTAGGAATTGTGCAGGAGTCTGGGGGAAAGCGTGAACAGGCACGCAGGCCTCAGAGAGAGCTTCACGCGTTAGCCCCGTGTTTCTGGCAGGTCTCTGCTGTTAGACTTTGGTTTTCCCCTTGCTCAGAGCTACTAAACAGCTGAGCTGCTAGTAGACTAGGTTTTCAAGTTTCAAGAACACTGCCACCTCTCTTGTAAGCACCATTCAGCTGGAAGGTTGAGACTGGGTTGGTTTTCAGAGGTGCCAGTGGCAGAATCAAAGCCACACACTAGGAATTTTTGTTTTGTTTTCTACTTGACCTCTGTCTCTAGCAGATTATTGGTGGTGACTGTTTATGCAAAAAAAAAAAAAAAAACAAAAAACTAGGAATTTTTGTTTTGTTTTCTACTTGACCTCTGTCTCTAGCAGATTATTGGTGGTGACCGTT